AATTCCTGTCAAATCAAGATCTGGAGAAGAGAGACCAGATTTTCTTTAATGTGAAACAAAATTGAATCTAAGTTGTCAATCAGCTGTTGATGGAAAATGAGGGACCTCAAATACAGTAATGCCTCAGTTAATGCCCTCAATAGGTTCTTGGGACTGCGGTGAAATGATGTGTAATAAAACCAATTTTAACACAGGCCAATAGAATTAAACAAGAGTTAAGTTCCTATATCATCTCATCATTATAACAAAATGACAAAAGATGTTGAGACATTATCTGAAGACTTGCTGGAGTTCCAAGAGCCCCTGGCAGAGAACTCTCTGAGTGGAATATGACATGCCCTGTTGTTCTAGAACACTTCTCTTGTCTTCCCTGTCCCTGGCTGATCATAAATCCAGGGGCCTCAGCTCTGCCGGGGCTACAAAGAGGGGAACAGCCAGCTGCCCCATCACAAGGCACACTGTCATCCTGGGCCAGGCTTGTCCTCTTGGGCAGGGGACCTGCTGCCCTCCCTCACCACCCCTTCTCTTCCTTCTCTCTTTGTCCTCTTGTCCTTCCCGTCCTCCAGCTCTGTGGCCCATTTCCACTGGAGACCCCAGCACAGTCAGACCTCCAGGACCCTGGATCATTCTTCTAATTAAACATGATGAGAACCCCACATGTTGGGTCAGGGCCTCCCCCTCACTTGGTTCCAGAGTGGGCTGCAGGGGGGACAGGGAGCAGCCTCTGCTCTAGGCCAAGGTTTGGGGGAGTTTGTTCTAACAGTTCTGGGTCAAGCAAGAGACGCCTTGGTCCTGACCTCTTTCTCAGCCTGGCTTCAATAGGCCTGATCGCTAGTGGCAGGAATTCTTCCTACAGGCAACTCAGGAGTGCAGGGGAGCCAAGGGAGGGCAGTTGGCCAGAGTATTTGATCTTTAAAGCAATACTGATGCCAGTAGAACAGGATGAGTAGGAACGAGGCCCAGGCACCTACAGTATTTTAAATTTCCCAGTGATTCTAACATACAGTGAGGAGTCTGAGGTGAGTGCCAGGGGAGAGAGTGGAAGAGGACAAGATAGCAAAAAGCAGACCAGGCTCTAAAATGCAACTCAGGGGGTCAGGACCCTGGGGGAGCCCTCAGGAGCTGGGGCCTACTCACCTCTCCTCCAGCAGGAACTCCACCTCCAGCTCCTCCATGCCCTGCAGGGGAGGAAGGGAAGCAGCTGTGAACTGTGAGCTGCCCCAGGAGCCTCTGAATCTGCCCCATCCTTCCCACGAAGCTGTCCTGCTAACATGGAGCTGCTCCTGGCCCTTCTTGTTCCCTCTGCCTCTTGCTGTCCCCAAGTCTTTGACATCAAGAACATCACTGACCACCCATGGGGCAGGGTATGGAGATGACCCCCAGTCCCAGCATGCAAACTCTTCTGCCCCAGAACATTTCCCTTTCATCTACCCCCATTACTCTCCTGCCCTCCCAAAGGGCTGTGCCAGGGGCAAGGAAGAGCTGCGATATTGCCCCCAGAAAGTTCAACTCTGAAGGGTAGGGGCCCCTTCCCTGCCTATCCCTTTACAGCGCTTACTGTGTAACTTCAGGCAAGTCATGACTCTCTGGACCTTAATTTTCCCACTGAAGTGTAAGCCAGGAGCGGGCAGGGATGCCAGTACCCTGACAGGTTCCCAGTGGGCATTCAAGTATTTGTTGAATGAGTGAATCTAGAATATCCCAGTCTTTTCCAGCTCTGACTTTCTCTGATTTGCAGATTTGCCCTCCTTTACTCTCCTCTGTCTTCTGTCCCCTGGGGATAGCCCAGCAGCAGGACACCAAGGAGAGGAACGGAGGAAACGGAATCAACACTATTGCATCTCCGTTCTGTACTGTGACCAGTGCTAGGTGCCTTAGTCATGTTTTCCCATTTAAATCTCACAATGACCCTGTGCAATAGGTACTAATATCACCATTGTATAGACCAGGAAAAGAACTCAGAGGAATTAAATAATATCCACAAAGTCATAAAGCTAGTAAGCATTAGCACTGGGGTTTGAATCAGCAGTTATCTTTCTCTGACTTGGCTGTTACACAGAGAGGAGCCTGCGGAAAGGCCTCACGGGAATGACCAGATGCTCCTCTTGAGGCAGGAGGCTGAGGGGCTTGGCAGGTGCACTCACCTCTGGATTGAGTGGGAACTTCACATGGGTTTTCTTCCTGAAGCAGAGCTTTTTGAGGTCATAGAGAACTGTCAAAAGATGGTCATCTGGTGTCACTGTGTCTTCATCGCAGACGCTCAGCTCTAGCACATTCTAGGGGAGAAGGCAAGGTACAAGTCTGGTTACAATGGCTGCATCAACCCATTGACCCATTCCCAGGACAAGGGGCCTGACCTCAGTCCTAGCAAGGAGGTGGTCTGAGGGACAGGGACCAGTGCAAAGGTCCCTGCTCAGGTGTGGGAGGCATTTGTAGGGAAATGGAATTAGAGAGGAAAGTGCCTACTCCATCCTTTCCAACTTTCTGAAGCCTTCCTGCCCGTCTGCTCTGACTCCCCTATTGGATAATTTGGCAAGCTTGGCAAGAGCCTGTGAAGTGTGAGGGATTTCATTTTACCTGGAGGAAGGACAGAAGGGCAGAGCAAGCAAGACTCCTGCCAGGATATAGAATGTGCTCAGCACTGGGGCCCCAGGAGCTCAACACAGTCTCTGTGGTGTTAGAAAACCCAGATTAGAGAAGCTAACATCTTAACACTCCAGGGAAGTGATGTGCTAAAGATCATAGGCATTCTGATACTTGATGGGGTTAGGGTGAGGTGGTGGAACTTCATTCTTTGGCTCATCAGCTCCTAATGAGACCTCATGGAGGGTCCAAAGGCAGCATGTCAAGAGTTGAGCACCTACCCCATCATTTGACTGAACTCTGAGGTCAATGGTCTCAGGTGACATGGATTAACCTCTGGGGCCTCTTGTTCTAAGGATCCTGGGAGATGTAGGTAGAACCTGGGTTTGCTTTTTTGATCCCTATTTGGTGGGCATGAGGCGGTTCTGGGGGGTTGCAACTGAATGAGATCTGTTGACCTTGTAATTACTAGAAACCCAGGTATGTTCTAGAACCAACCCAATAGCCCCCTAGATCTTTAGACAAAGGAAGTTCAAATTCTGATTTCAAGATGGCCAGTTGAGCCCACATTGAAATCCTTTTCTTTGGCCAAAACCATGTATATGGTAGATATTTTTAAAACAATAAATGTAAAAAGTACTTGTCATGAACCAGAAATGGAAAAGCATGCCTAAACTATGAAAGCAGTAAACTGGATAGAGCTCCCAGGTCTCAAGCATTCAGACAGTCAATGCCTCCATGAAGAGGCCAAATTTCTCCTAAGAAGCACTCTGCTGAGGCTGTCACAACTCAGGGTGTTCAAGGCAGAATTCTCCCGCAAGGAAATGTGAACTTGATTTAGAGTCCCCATATATCTGAATAAGACCAACATCATGAAATAAATCAACAAACGAAAGAACACACACCCAAGGAATTAGAAATAAAAAAGCAATCTAAAAAGAATTTAAGGTAGAGAAAGCCCTCTAGATGGAATTAGACTGGCTTGGAACCTAGTGATTAGAATAGATCTCCTCTTCTGTGTATTATCCTGCTTGGAGTATGTTCTGGAAGGTATTGGAAACACACTCTTTTTGGAGCAGGAGACACCCAATTCCAGAAACAATTAGGTAGAAGGACAAGAGAGATAAGAAAGGAGGTAGACGGATAAGCAGACTCAGAAAGACAAATATGAGACAGGCTGGAAGGAATGGGTGAGTGGGAAGACAGGTCAATAGGGGGACAAGTAGGTAGAAAGAAAGACAAATGGGCATAAGGACACATAAGCAAAGAGGACAAGCAGGAAAGGAGGGGAATAGAAATGCAGGCAGGGCAGGCAGGTGCAGTCCTCCACATCTCACCTTCACTTGGCTCTGGATCTGGAAGTTGAAGCTTTCATTCCACTCTGGGTTTGGGCAGTTGGAGATGGTTCTAGTCCTCAGCTTCTCATGAGAAGCGGTGGGCAGCCAGAGGCTCACATAGCAGTCCGTCTGGCTCACTGTCCAATGAAGACAAGGGTGGGGGGGAAGGGTGAAGTGCCAACCCAGGTCCAGAGAGGAGAGAGTACGGCGTCAGAAGGGAACTTCAGGCAAGTCGCTTCCAGAGCAAGAAGGCCTTGTCTTAGCTTCAGGTCCTCTCCTGACTCATGAGTCTGACTCTCCAGAGATTTTTGTCCCAGAACCCTGAGAAGGTCACAGACTGCAGGCTAAATGTTTCACAGAGGGGGACCCAGGTCTCACTGACTGTCCTCATGGACACAAATGGCCTTTGGCTCTTATTAGAAGCACCTGTGCCCAGACTGTTTTTCAGTCCTCATGATTCAGTTGGTTGAGCATCCCATGCACCAAGAGGTTGCTGGTTCAGTTCCCGGTCAGGACACATGCCTGGGTTAGGGGCTCAATCCCCAGTAGGAGACAGGCAGCTGATCAATGTTTCTCTTTCATTGATGTTTTTGTCTTCTTCACCCTATCCCTTCCTCTCTCTCTCAAATCAATAAAAACTGTTTGTTTGTTTTTGTTGTTTTTTTTAAAGAAGCACCCTGGCTCCCTGGTTTGGGACAAGGCATAGCTGAACAGTGTTCTCTCTGCCAGGGAAAGATCTGGAGGATCAGCCCCAAAAGGTCCAGTTTACCTCTTGCATTAACCCAAGGCACCAGGGAAACCAAAGTAGGGCTCAGCTCTTCCTCTGGGCTGAGGAGAAACAGGGATTAGAAGGGGCACCATCTGCTGTGAGTTACCTGTTCAGCAGGATCTAGGAGCAGGAACCACCATCTTCATATGACTCAATGTCTCAACTGAACTTGCTGGGCTCTTCATACCTACACTGGTCTTCCAACATGAGGTGTGTGGCCCAAGAAACCCTCACTTCTGAAGCCATATACTTTTTTTGTTTGTTTGAAATGAACAACCCAAGTGTGCTGATGCTGGAGGTACTCTGGAGAAGGGACAAGGGCTGTGATTCCAATAGGTCCAGTCAAAGTGGAAGAAGGCCTCTCAGGTCTTTTGGTTGGAGCACCGGAAAGCATAAGGTGAAAAACAGCAACCCAGCCTGGCTCCCTCCTTCCCTTCTACATGGGAGGAGGGAGGAAGAGGTGCCATGACTGCCCTTGGCGCTCTCTTGGAGACATGCTGGGCTAATGCCCAGGGTTCATACCAGATACATTGAAAATGAGAAAAAGCAATAGTTTCCAGTGTCAGAGAGCCCTCTAGAAGGTAAAGCTGGTGTGGGCATGGGAGTCCTGTACTGCTAGGACTGATCCAAACTAGTTCATGATTGTTAATAACGTCCTGTGAGAGTGGAACCAGAAGTGTACCCCAGAATGACTTATTCCTACATTGCCACTACACTGAGAACTTTACCAGAGTTAATAACCAGGGGTTGCATCACAAGCATCCCTAGCTTCTGATTTTATCCTCAATGTCTGGTTAATCTCTGAGGGCTTATCATTCAGTGAACTGGAATTCACAGCCCTCCTCCCATTGAATAAAGGTGAGATGACACTGCCCTTTACATGTCATAATCATCATTTAATCCAGACACAAAGAATGACCGAAACTCAATAGGATTTTTTAAAAAATGACCTCATCATTCCCATCATCCCCTCTGAGCCCAACCTGGTATCCTCATCGCTGACTCAGCTGTCCAGGCCAGACACCAAGTATTGTCCTTGATTCTTGTATTGAGTCGATTTAACTCCTTTGGTCTCTCCAGCCCGCCCACTCTCCTTTCTTGCACTGCCACAGATACATGCATACAACATGTGTATGCTCACACAGATGCACACATGTGCTCACACTTGTGTGAGACTCCAGACAAACCCAATCACTTGTAGGTCTCAGGAGGTGTCATACTGTTTTGTCATTCCTTCTGTCTAGATTACCCTTCTCTTCCACTTTCACCTCACCCTTCCCTTGTGTAGCCCCTCTAGGTTTCAGAAGGAACCTCCTCTGGAAGCCTTCCCTGAGCCCCGAGTCTGGGCCAGGTGCCCCTCTTCGCCCAGAGCCCTGTGCTCTTCTGGCAGAGCGCCGGCTAGCACTGCACCCTGAACACAGGCAGGCCAGGAAAACCATGCGTTAGCACTTACGAGATATTTGTTGAGTAAATGAATGAATGTAAAAGCCCAGCTTCCTGCTATTGGGCTATATCGGTACCTGAGAAATTCCGGGCTGAGTCACTGCAACAGGTAAGCGAGCTGGCGTGTCTAATCCCTCTGCCCACAGGGAGACTCCCTAGGGCCTGCTCAGTCCTCCTGGACCCCTCCTGTGGCTTTTTCTGGACACTGACCCTTCTCTTGGACCTGTAACATTCTCCATGGTTTGCATCCTGTACACTAGAAGCTGACAGGCAGCAACCTCACCAACTCCACACCTGTTTGCTTAACACAATATAATAGACCCTATAAAGGCTCCTTTCCCCCTAAAAGCCCTTCCCTATCATCAGCCCATGCCTAAAATTCTCCCATTAAACCTATAAATAAAACCTCAGTATTTTGGGCCTGGAAGAGACAGGGCTGATCAGACACCCACACTTGACACATTAGTTTGTTTTTCAGTCCTTATAAGGAGAGCTGTTCCCACCTCCACCTCCAAAAGTTGGGAAAAGGGAGAATGCAGCCCAAAGAAGAGGTAATCCTGGGAAGGGAGGGATGATGGAGGAAATCTGGTCGGGCTCAGGTGGCAATCTGGGGCAGGTGTCATTATCTGATTGCAAGGACAGTGACAGTGTGTTTGTAATGAAGAATAATGTTTGAACAACGGTGACCCAATTCTGAGGATTTCAGGGACTGCAGGGGATTTCCTAGGCATAGATAGGTGACAGAAGACTTGGTCATCTGAATGACGTGTATCTTTTCCTGAAAGGGGGTGGCAAAAATGACTCAACGATCTCTACAGGTGCTGGGAACACAGTCTCCCTAATACCTCTACAAACACCTGCCTCACATCCCTTGGGGTGCTGGTTTGCATTTTAATTTATTTTCCTAAGAATAATAAAAGCATTTGACAGCTGGAAGGTTTCTGGGCGGACTCCCTCCCAGTTCTGGCCCAGGTCTGGGCGGCACACTCCCTGACCAGGGGTGTTGTCCCTCAATCTCATCTCTTTCAGGCTTCTTGAACTGTTGGAAACAGACATATACTAAAGCTGAGCGAGAGAGGAATGTGCTTTTGATCCAAGTCAGAAGGGAGTGATTTGGGGCAAGGGTAACCAGGGCCTGGAAGGCATCAGGTTAGTCTCAAGCCTCACCAGACAAGGCAGCAAGAGCCCAGCCTATGACAACTGCGGAGACAAGATACAGTGACCGGACTGGCACTCCCAAACACCATGCATGCCCCTAACCCTGTTTCTCAAGGGAAAGGAAAAAAACTAAACAACGAGGGGTGCTCAAAGGGGACTAGGTACCCTCAAAAGGCAGTCTGGGTGCCAAGGCTCATGTGGGGAAGGGGGAAGTGATGGAGCCAAACTTCAGCCCATTTCTCTGGCTGTCTGCGCCTCCATCCCACTACCTCTGGTGAGGGGTGTGGCAGGGAGAAGACAGAAAGGCCAGGCAGGGCTGGGACAGACATACCTGGGGAGGAGTGGATGCTGCCTGGAACTGCTCCTGCTGGAATGGGCTCTGGGCACTCCTTGGTGATCCAGGGGACTTGGTTTGAATCTTGCCTGATCCCTTTGCTTTCTCTATGGCTTCCTCCCTTCTCCACCCTCTACACTCTTCCCTGCACTACAGCTTCCCAGCAAGTGTCTCAGCCGCTCCCCACCTTCGCTCCTGCATAATCTGCATAGGATCCCTGGGGAGATCATACAGTCCCTTCCTCGAGAACTCTGGCGCCCCATCACTTAGATCTGACCTCTCCCCTGCCTGCCTGCCTGCCTGCCTGGCTTCTTCTCCGTCTACCACTAGCGCCAGCCTCCTTCTCCTGGCTTGTTCCCTCTACTCCCCAGCTCTCCAGACCTGGGATTGAGCACTTTCACTAACCCTCATCTGCAAAATGGGCCTCACAGCACTAACCTCAGGTTGTTGGGAAGATCAAATGGTGTTTGGACGGCTGGCCCTAGCTGGCCCTCAGCAGGTGCGTGGGGATACACTCCTCTCTCTCCTTCAGGATGGTCCCTCCCCAGCCTGGGCTCCATGGGCCTCTGGATGCTCACAGCCTGCCCCTCTCGGACTCAGGCCCCCAGTGCAGCCTTCCTTAGCTACTCGCAGTTTTCAGTGTCCTCCTCTGAATTTTAATTCTGTACTGACAAGATTAGAATGTCATATTCTATGACTATCTATAACCACTTTGGGCAGAGATGTCTCCCCTTGTTAAAAAGTATACTCAATATCATGGCTCTATGCATTCTCTGCCCCTCTGAGTTGAATCCCAAGGCAGTGGAAGTATAATGAAGCTTTGGGGAACCCTGGTGGCTGTTGGGCCATTCCAGTGAGTGGGGACACCCCCTCAGCAGTGGGGCCTTACCACTGAGCTTTCCCATCCTTGAGGGCCAAGCTTTCTCTCTGGATGGGGGAAGATGAGGAAAGCATAGGGAGGGGCTTTTGGTTCTCCTGGTCTCTTGAAATGTGACCCCAAAGCCAGGTATGGGGGGAGCATCCTGCCCACCCAGGTGCTGTCTTTCCTTCCTGAAGCCAAAGACTGCCCTGGGCCCCCATGGCCTAGGTATGCTGCAGGGGCTGGGATGAAGGGAAAGTTTAGGCTGCAAGAAAACACTGTATAAATAGCCCTGGTGAGTCAAGCCACTCCATGAGGCTGAACTGCAGAACTGAGGGCTATGGGGCTTCTGGCATGGTCCCTAGAACCCAATATGGGATCCAGTTCCTGAGAAGGAGCACTGGGACTAGGCCAGCAGCTGGCTCCATGATGTCTGAGGGCCTCTCCTTTCCTTCACCAAACAACCCCTAAACTCATGCAGAAGCAAGGATTGCCCATGTGGGAGAAGCTGGAGCTCCTGGAAATGGATACTAGGGAGAGGGCAGTGGGAGGAGAGAGTGAGGTGAACAGTGCCTTTGGACACAGGCAGATGCCAGGGCACCACGGTAGTGCCAAGTTTACAGCTAGAGGGAGGGGCCTGCAAATCAGTATAAACCCCAAAGGCTGAAATACAATCTGAATGTAAAACACACACCACACACACACACACACACATACACACACGTGCGTGCATGCATGCATACACACACACACCTGACCATTTCTTCAGCCAGGGCCTGTCTCCATCCAGGCCCCAGCAGAGAAGGAGGAGGGCAGGGAGAGGAAGATACTCACGCCTGTCAGCCTGCCGGACGTTTTTCATCCGAATGACCCTCACGGTTAGCAGGTAGCATGGAGATAGCCCCTCCTGTGGATTAAGAAGACAGTGGGCTTACTATCCAGGCAATGATGGCAGGTGGCCATGGTGGAGAGAGCAGCTCAAGCTGGCCACAGGCTCCTAGTGCCTGGACTCAAGAACCTCCCCACAGTCAAGCCGCATTTCGGGGCCCTGAAGGACTTTCTAGTCTCCAGGGGACCCCAGGTACAAAGGTGAGGGGTTTCTTCCTAACCACACTCTGAGCCACCACACTCTGGAAGAGGGACAGCTTCATGCCTGTTCCTGACTTTCCTGTTTGAACCTCGGGATTTGAAGCCCTTTCCCTGAAAGTTTTACCCAGGCCTAGATGAGTCTTTTTTCTAGTTCATTCCCAGCCCATGCCCACGGCAGATGCCACTGGAATCCTCCAACTCACCAAATGACAGTATTTATAGAGGCCTCTGAACTACAACCTTTACACATCACGAAGTCCACTCTATGTTGCTAAAATCACCTTACATCTTTTTAAGAGGATGCAATTCTTCTCTTTTTAAAATAATATTGGGGTTTGGGAAAAACAAAAGTATGAAGAAAGAGAGTCCCCGTAATCTTACCACTAAAAAATGATCATTATTATCATTAAAAATTTTTTTAAAAATTTAAAAAATATACCTTTGTTGATTTCAGAGAGAGGAAGGGAAAGGGAGAGACAGAAATCAATGTTGAGAGAGTCATTGATCAGCTGCCTCCTGCAGGCTCCCCACTGGGGATCAAGCCCGCAACCCGGGCATGTGCCCTGACTGGGAATCGAACCGTGATCCCCTGGATCCTAGGCCAATGCTCAACCACTTAGCCATGGCTGGCCGGGCTAAAAATTTTTTTTAATATTATAACTATTTTATTTTCAACTCAGACTGTCCAAGGATATCTCGTCAGCCTTGGCTATTATCAGAGATGATAATATTTGTAATAGCAGCATCTATTGAATATTTACTATTTGTCAGACACTTTTCTTCATTTCTAATCCTCATCAGACCTTTGTAATAGAGATGTTGACATATTTTTTTAAAAAACTGAGATATAACTGACATATAACACTGTACTAGTTTTAGGTGTATAACATAATGATTTGATATATAGATAGATATCTATATATTACAATACGATCACCACAATAAGTTCAATTAACATCCATGACCACACATAGTTACAATATTTTTTACTTGTCATGAGAACTGTTATCATTTTGATGCCGGTTCTTCCAGCCTCTTCTGGGGCTTAATTCTAGCCAGCAACAATAGAATGATGACTGGGAAGGCTGTTGCTTAGATATGTAAGCAGGTAGATATATAAGTCAATCTTAGGGTCTCTTCTTCCTCTCTCCCCAACAGCTGCCTCCAAGTTAGAATAAAAGCCAATCTGACAGTAATCTATAGTTTAAGGATTCCTGTGGTGAGATTAACTCTGAAATATTGAAAATCTTCATAGTCAATAACTTGCTCTAACAGGATTCTGTTTTGAGCTTTGTAACTCGGGCCAAAGGCCACACAGACCACTTCTCTTCTGGTTTTAGAAATATGGCTGTGGCCCCCGGCCAGACCCGCTCTGGGTGCAGTGGGTTCCTTACTTCTCACTTGCACCTGGGCAAAGTGGTATCATAGTCTGATCTGGTGAGGAAGGAGGAGTCAGCTTTCACCCAGGAGAGTAGTTCTGGCAAAGCCTGTTCCCACTGGCCCACTTTCTCAGAGGGCAACTAGAGGCCTCCAAGTGGGGAGCCACCCAAGACTTCAGCCAGGCAGGGGTCAGTCCTCAGGGACATTTCATAGTGTCAAAGGGCTCTGAACTCACAGCCCTGGTCCTCTTGGCCATCACTACCCTTCTCCTGACTCCAGGAGGGGCTGCCCTTGGCCCTGCCCAGCTCTCTTGTGTCTTCTCTGGAAGGAAGCGAGCTTTTGCAGTTTCCCAGAGGACATCACCTGAGGTCTCCCTGCCTTCCAGGAAGAGATCCCTATTGCCATCTACCCTGACAGCTTCCAATGATGCTGACCATTTCTTTCTACTCTAACTCAGCAACAATAACATCAGCGACCACCCTCTGAGTGTCTGCCATCTGTTAAGTGTTGTGTATGTAATGTCTACATTTTGTCTTGCTCAAACCTTACACACCCCATGAAGCAGTTATTATTAGCTTCACTGCACAAATGGAGAATCTGAGCTTAAGTCTGGACTTTAGGCCCTCGCCTAGAATCAGAGGAGCCCAAGTTTGAATCCAGTTCTAATTCTCATAACCACGAGTATCCTGCCACCTCACCTGAAAGTGGCCCTTGGCAAACACGAAGACAGGTGCTACTTGCCTTCATCTCCTCTTCCTTCGTCTTTTGCTCTTTTTTTTTTTTAATCCTCACCTGAGGATATTTTTTCCATTGCTTTTCAGAGAGAGTGGAGGGGAGAGAGAGAGGAGAGAGAGAGGAGAGAGAGAGACACAGATGTGAGAGAGGCACACCGATGGGTTGCCTCTCGCTTGCGCACCAGGGCCAGGGATCGAGCCTGTAACCGAGGCATGTGCACTTGGCTGGAATCGAACCCGGGATCCTTCAGTCTGCAGGCCAATGCTCTAGCCACTGAGCAAACCCAAACATCTCCGAACATGGAGAGAGTACAGAGGGCCAAGGGAGGAAGGCAGAAGGAACAGGGGACTCAGGTCTTGGGCCCAGATGATTCCAAGAATCAGGACTATGAAAAATGACCTTCTTGGCTTAAAATGAGTATTTTGCTCCTGATGTAATTATGCTCTAGTGGTGCTAGAGATAAGCGAAAATTCATGGACCCAGAGGTAATTGACACACAGGAGAAAGATGTGAAAGAACAAAACACAGTGTCTGTGACTCTGCAGATGGGAACCAGAAACCAGTGAGATTAAGAAACCAAGTGTAGCCCGGCCGGGCGTGGCTCAGCGGTTGAGCGTCGACCTAGGATCCAGGCGATCAGGGTTCGATTCCTGGTCGGGGCACATGCCTGGGTTGCGGGCTCAATCCCCAGTGGGGGGCCTGGGGGGCCTGACTCTCTCATCATTGATGTTTCTGTCTCTCTCCTTCTCCTTTCCTCTCTCTGAAATCAATAAAGATATATTAAAAAAACACACCAAAAAACAAGTGATGGGTAGCTTATGGTATGCTAAGGGTAAGCACTTCAGGGACTTGGACAAGCCCATCCCTAGGACAGGATGCCCTGGCTGGCTAGCAGGGTGAAAGTTTAAATACCTAAGGACAGGCATGGCCAGGCACTGTGCCAGCTGGACTGCAGCCCTGGAGCAGGGACAGGCATGAATCCTGTGGTTTATGGGGTGTTGGAGGGTCCTGGGGGGAGGACTAGGGAGCACTCAGTGGTGGAACACCAGGCAGGGACTCTGGCAAACAGTACAGAGGTGAGTTTAAGACACATTAGCAACTGTGTGGGGAGGACGGCCGGGGAGGAGTTTTCTGGGACATTTCTCAGGCTGCTGGCACATTGCTCTGGCTTCCTCCCTGGCCTTGGTCCTTGGGGCTGATCTTGCCAGGCCTTCATCTCCCTCCAGACCACCTCAGGACAGGGGGCATTTGTTGGCTCATATGGAAAAGATGTAGCCCCCTGACTCTCAGGAGTGGCTATTATGCCCACTCCAATATTACCCCTTCCCACCCCGTCACTTTATAGATGGCCCTTTGGCAGGAGGCTGGAGAACACAATGCATTACCCTCCTCTAGTGTGCCAGGTCCTGACTCCAGGTCCTGCAGATGGGTGTACTGCATCTGTTCTCATCCAGCCCTGCAACCCTGCTCTGAAGAAGGTGCTATTGTGCTGGCTTTGCAGAGAAGACTGAGCTGAGAGAAACTGCATCTCGCATAGGGTCATATGCCCCAGAAGTGACAGGACTCAGGTATAGGTCTCCTTGACTGCAGGGCAGCACAATTTCCAGCCACTTGGAAGCTGGCCTTCACCATGAATGAACCAAACCAGCCTTAGGCTAGTTCTTAGCAGAGGCAGGAGTAAAACCCTCAACTCCTAATTCGAGACTCTCCTTACACTCCAAGAATCTAGCTACCACTACGAATTAGTCAGATGAATATTTAGTCACAGATATTCACTCAGGGCCAGGCTCCCAGGTAAGGATGGGAGTAGGGAGAAGGCTCTGACAACTATGTGTCAGGAATGGTGGGTCTGACGCCCACCCTAAGGTCAGGTGTACCCTCACCAAACTAGCCCACAAGGTCTGGGTGCTAAAGAGGGGAAGACAGGAGCCTGTGGGAACTCCTCTCCCCAGGGCTGCTCAGGGCAGGTCCAGCTGGTGATGCCATCTCCTCCTTCCCAGAGAGCTGGGTGGATCCAACAGTTCCTTTCGACACCTGTGTCAGAGCTCAGACCAGCCTAGTGATAGCTTCCAGGATGCACAGGCCCTTCCTAAAAGGAGACCATTGGGGTGGAGACCCTGTGGGACCTCAGAACATTTCCCAGATAATCTGAGCAACATCCCAGACCAGGGGTCACCTGCAAGGAGCCACTATGGCTGTTTTCCTTTTTACCATCCAGGCTAGGTGAGGGGTCAGAGCAAAAAGTCCCAACTCTGAGTCATGGACCCTCCAGGACCTGAGAGGAACAGGCGCAGTTCTCAGTTGCTTCACTCCCCACTTCGAGGTAAGCTCTGTCCCTCCTGTGGAGGGACTCCACAGCCCAGCCCATGCTCTTGGAAGCTCAGTAACACTAGAGAGGGAAAAGCAAGAGTTGACCACCTCCTCCATGAAGACTTCTCAGATCCACTCTTTCCCTTCCCAGCTAGCATCCTTTTTTCATCTTCTGTACTCTCTAGTCAGTTATTAGCTCTGTAAATCATAAATGTTTACAAATGCGAAGGCCTTATATTGGCCTTCCTAGGATACCTGTGAGGGGTATTTAGCTGCTAACTAAAGTTTCCCCAAGGGCTGTGGGGAAATATGGGTACACCCCTGAAGGCCATGTCTATTCTGGCCAGGACAGCAGGGCACTGGCACCATGCAGCACTGAGCTCCCCTCCTGGG